GTTACAGTGTTAGTTACAATGTTAGTTACAATATTAGTTACAGTGTTAGTTTTAATACTAGTTACTGTATTAGTTTCAATATTAGTTATAATATTAGTCACAGTATTAGTAACAGTATTAGTTACAATACTAGTTACAGTGTTAGTTACAATATTAGTTACAGTATTAGTTACAATATTAGTTACAGTATTAGTTGCAATATTAGTTACGGTGTTAGTGACAGTATTAGTTACAATATTAGTTACAGTGTTTGTTACAATATTATTTACAGTATTAGTTTCAATATTAGTTATAATATTAGTCACAGTATTAGTAACAGTATTAGTTACAATACTAGTTACAGTGTTAGTTACAATATTAGTTACAGTATTAGTTACAATATTAGTTACAGTATTAGTTGTAATATTAGTTACGGTGTTAGTGACAGTATTAGTTACAATATTAGTTACAGTGTTTGTTACAATATTATTTACAGTATTAGTTACAATATTAGTGACAGTGTTAGTAACAATATTAGTTACAGTATTAGTTACAATATTAGTTACAGTATTAGTTGCAATATTAGTTACGGTGTTAGTGACAGTATTAGTTACAAAATTAGTTACAGTGTTTGTTACAATATTAGTTACAGTATTAGTTACAATATTGGTGACAGTGTTACTAACAATATTAGTTACAGTATTAGTTACAATACTAGTTACAGTGTTAGTTACAATATTAGTTACAGTGTTAGTTACAATATTAGTTACAGTATTAGTTACAATATTAGTTACAGTGTTGGTTACAATATTAGTTACAGTATTAGTTACAATATTAGTTACAGTGTTAGTTGCAATATTAGTTACGGTGTTAGTGACAGTATTAGTTACAATATTAGTTACAGTGTTTGTTACAATATTATTTACAGTATTAGTTACAATATTAGTGACAGTGTTAGTTACAATATTAGTTACAGTGTTATTTACAATATTAGTTACAGTGTTAGTTACAGTGTTAGTAACAATATTAGTTACAGTGTTAGTTACAGTGTTAGTTATAATATTAGTTACAGTATTAGTTGCAATATTAGTTACCAGGGGCGGCATTAGGCCCGGCTACTTGGGCTGAAGCCCCGGATCTTTCATGAAAAGCCCCGGATCTAAATCGCGGAAGTAACATGCAGTACCAAAGTCCAACAGAGAGGGCGCAGCTGGCAGTAGTTTGTATACAGCCTGCCTGAGCCTCCACCACTGAAGAAGAAGCCCTTCAGCAGCCGGCTTCTTCTACACTCTCTGCCTGACACGCATGAGTGAAGATGGACATAAGGACGTTTTTTAGACCAAAAGTACCGCGACAGAACCCCAGCTTTGATGAGACTGGTTTGTGAGTCTTATTTGAAAATATTTGTTGTGCTGCTGGTTTGCCTAAAGTTAGCTTACTATCAGGTAAAGTTGTTGGAGAAAGAACGGGAATATTTATTATCATCTCACACTAAACACTAACAGGAACAATATTCTGCCCTGAAAATGCTTAATATGTAGCTTCAGATAAAAAATTATGTGGTGCAAGACCAATATTTATGATGTTGACTAGTGCGTGTCACGTGTGTGTGCGCGCGCATGTGTGTGTGCACGCGTGTGTGTGTGTGTGTTAAGCCCCGGATCTTCTTCAGTCCTAAATCCGCCCCTGTTAGGTACAATATTATTTACAGTGTTAGTTACAATATTAGTTACAGTATTAGTTACAATTTTAGTTTTAATATTAGTTACAGTTATTTACAATATTTGTTACAGTATTAGTTACTCTCCCTGGGCTGCCACCTTACCGTGGTGGAGGGGTTTGAGTGTCTCAATGATCCTAGGAACTAAGTTGTCTGAGGCTTTCTGCCTCTGGTAGGGTCACCCATGGCAAACAGGTCCTAGGTGAGGGATCAGACAAAGAGCAGCCTGAAGACCCCTTATGATGAATTATATAAATGGAAACAGTGTTCCCTCGCCCGGATGTGGGTCACCCTCTGGAGCCAGACCTGGAGGTGGGGCACGTTGGCGAGCGCCTGGTGGCCGGGCTTTCACCCATGGAGCCTGGCTGGGCGCAGCCCGAAGAGGAAACGTAGGCCCCCTTTCCCATGGGCTCACCACTCGTGGGTCAGGTGCAGTGTGTGATGGGTGGTAGTCGAGGGCGTGGACCTTGGCAGTCTGATCCTCGGGTACAGAAGCTGGCTCTTGGCACATGGAATGTCACCTCTCTGGTGGGGAAGGAGTGTGAGTTGTGTGTGAGGTTGAGAGGTTCCGACTAGATATAGTCGGACTCACCTCAACGCATGGCTCTGGCTCTGGAACCAGTTTCCATGAGAGTGGTTGGACTTTCTACCACTCTGGAGTTGCTCCCACTGAGAGGTGCCGAGCAGGGGTGGGCATACTAGTTGCCCCCCATCTTGGTGCCTGTACGTTGGGGTTTACCCCAGTGAATGAGAGAGTAGCTCCCTCCGCTTACATGTGGGGGAACGGGTCCTGACTGTGGTCTGTGCTTATGCACCAAACTACAGTTCAGACTACCCACCCTTTTTGGAGACCTTGGAGGGGGTGCTGGAAAGCGCTCCTTCCGGTGACTCCCTCGTTCTGCTGGGGGACTTTAATGCTCACGTGGGCAACGACAGTGAGACCTGGAGAGGTGTAGTTGGGAGAAACGGACCCCTGATCTGAATTTGAGTGGTGTTTTGTTATTGGACTTCTGTGCCAGTCATGGATTGTCCATAATGAACACAATGTTCAGACATAATGGTGTCCATATGTGCTCTAGGCTGCAGCTCGGTGATCGACTTTGTTGTTGTTTCATCTGACCTGTGGCCGCATGTCTTGGACACTCGGGTGTAGAGAGGGGCGGAGCTGTCAATTGACCACCACCTGGTGGTGAATTGGCTCAGATGGTGGGGGAGGATGCCAGTCAGACCAGGCAGGCCCAAACGTATCACGAGGGTCTGCTGGGAACTTCTGGCAGAGTCTCCTGTCAGAAAGAGCTTAAATTTCCACCTCCGACAGAACTTCCAAAATGCTCCGGGGGAGGCGGGGGACACTGAGTCTGAATGGACCCTGTTCCATGCCTCCATTGTTGAGGCGGCCGACCGGAGCTGTGGTCGCAGGATTGTCGGTGCCTGTCATGGAGGCAACCCCTGAACCCGCTGGTGGGCACCGGCAGTTAGGGATGTTGTCAAGCTGAAGAAAGAGTCATATCAGGTCTTTTTGGCCTGTGGGACTCCAGAGGCAGCTGACGGGTACCGGCAGTCCAAGCGGAATGCGGCTCGGGTGGACGCTGAGGCAAAAACCTGGGCATGGGAGGAGTTCGGTGAGACCATGTAGCAAGACTTTCGTACGGCTTCAAGGAGATTCTGGTCATCCATCCGGCGCCTCGGGGGGACAGTAGTGTGCTACCAACACTATCTATAGTGGAGACGGTTTGCTGCTGATCTCTACTCAGGACATTGTGGATCGGTGGGCAGAATACTTCGAAGACCTCCTCAATCCCACCGACATGTCTTCCAGTGAGGAAGCAGAGTCTGGGGACTTTGGGTTGGCCTCTCAAATCTCTGGTGCTGAGGTCACTGAGATGGTTATAAAGCTCCTCTGTGGCAAGGCTCCGGGCGGGGGATGAGATCCGCCCGGAGTTCCTTAAGGCTCTAGATGTTGTGGGGCTGTGTTGGCTGATGCGGCTCTGCAATATCATGTGGACATCAGGGGCAGTCCCACTGGACTGGCAGACCGGGGTGGTGGTCCCCTTATTTAAAAAGGCGGACCACAGGGTGTGTTCCAACTACAGGGAGATCACACTCCTGAGCCAACCTGGTAAGGTCTATTCAGGGGTTCTGGAGAGGAGGGTATGTCGTATTGTTGAACCTCAGATTCAGGAGGAGCAATGTGGTTTTCGTCCTGGCCGTGGAACACTGGACCAGCTCTATACCCTTAGGGGGATCCTGGAGGATGCGTGGGAATTTTCCCAACCAGTCTACTCGTGTTTTGTGGATTTGGAGAAGGCATTTGACCACGTCCCTCGGGGGGCCCTGTGGAGGGTAATCCAGGAGTATGAGGTACCAGGCCCTCTGATACGGGCTGTTAGGTCCCTGTATGGCCGATGTCATAGCTTGGTCCGCATTGCTGGCAGTAAGTCGGACTCGTTCCCAATGAGAGTTGGACTCCGCCAAGGCTGCCCTTTGTCAGAGATTCTGTTCATAACCTTCATGGACAGGATTTCTAGGCGCAGCCAAGGTGTGGAGGGCATCCGTTTTGGTGGCCTGAGGATCAGGTCTCTGCTTTTTGCAGATGATGTGGTCCTGCTGGCTTCATCAGAACGTGATCTTCAGCTTTCGCTGGAGCGGTTCGCAGACGAGTGTGAAGCAGCTGGGATGAGAATCAGCTCCTCTTAATCTGAGACCATAGTTCTAAGTTGGAAAAGGGTAGAATGCCTTCTCCGGGTCAGGGATGAGGTCCTGCCCCAAGTGGAGGAGTTTAAGTATCTCGGGGTCTTGTTCACGAGTGAGGGAAAACTGGAACATGAGATCGATAGGTGGATTGGTGCTGCATCTGCAGTGATGCGGACATTGTACCGGTCTGTCGTGGTGAAGAGAGAGCTGAGTCAGAAGGCGAAACTCTCGATTTACCAATCGATCTACGTTCCTACCCTCACCTATGGTCATGAGCTTTGGGTAGTGACAGAAAGAACGAGATTGCGGGTACAAGTGGCCGAAATGAGTTTTCTCCGAAGAGTGGCTGGGCTCTCCCTTAGAGATAGGGTGAGAAGCTCGGTAATCCTGGAGGGGCTTGGAGTAGACCCGCTGCTCCTCCACATTGAGAGGAGCCAGTTGAGGTGGCTCGGGCATCTGGTCAGGATGCCTCCTGGATGCCTCACTGGTGAGGTTTTCTGGGCACATCCAACCGGAAGGAGACCTAAAGGTAGACCCAGGACACGGTGGAGGGACTATGTCTCTCACCTGGCCAGGGAACGCCTTGGGATTCCCCCGGAGGAGCTGG